TTTTCGTATTAGTTCTTTGTTTCGTATAACACGGATTCGCATAACACGGCAATTTTTTGGAACGTAACTACCGTGTTATACGGGGGTTACCTGTATTTAGTTTTTTTTTATGTAAAATTCGTTTTATTGTAGAATTGTTTAAAATACAAATAAACAATAAAATCAGTTAAAATTTTTCAAATTTTCAAACTGGCAAGGTTTTCGTTTCCTGTTTATTTTATTCGGAGTTTGAATTGTAGGAAAGCAATAATTATGGAAGCTGAGCGCAATTTGAGCTGAAGGAACTGCTTGTGTTTCGTCTTTCTTTACATGTTTGTTTGGGTCATTTGCTTCTTTCAGATGAGATTTCCTGTTCGGATCATGTTTGTGTTTATCCGTAACCTTTCTTTGTCATCTATCGCAGTAAAAATAAGATGTTCCAGACTCTTTAGTTGCTTTCTGTTTATTGAAGTTTGTAATATTGTTGAAATATCGAGGACAAAATTTACACTGAAGCTTTTTTCTGTTTTATGCAGTTTCTCGTAATAAACTAAATCGTTTTTATATTTAATTCTTTTACCGCATACACTACATGGAAAAGGCGTTATATACAAGTGTTTTTTTCATGTGCTTTTATAAATCTAATTTACGTGGAAAAGTTTTTGAGCAGTATCTACACTTTTGATCTTTCGGTCTGCCACGGCGAATTTATCATTCATTTTTCTATACTTGGAGGCTGTGTATAAAAGCAAACTGTATTTCAGACACGAATATAAATTTTGAACATTAATTCTTAAACTGTAATATAAACTAACGATGGTTTAATATAGCAATGAATACAGAATCGAAAAAAAATTAGTCATTAAGCGGTATGAGGTGCATAATAAAGATCCTGATCAAAAGTTAATACAATATATCAGGTGAGAATAATGATTTTTTTTAGACTTTTGACTAAGATCTCCTCTCTTTGCTGATCAGAAACTAAACCAGTATAATAAGTCTTATTAATAAACAAGGCTGAAGTAAACAATACAGTTGATTCCCTATAACACTGTTGATAATTCCGTTTTATATGAATTCCATGTTGTACGAGTCACTTAGATTTTACAAATACGTGAGCCGTTCACAGCCCGGCANCTGAAGACGGCCCTGCCTGCGTCATCCCTTCGTAAACGTGAGCTGAAGACGGCCCTGCCTGCATCGAACATTCATAATTGTGAGCTAAAAACGGTGCTGCCTGCGTTATATCTTCATAGGTGTGAGCTGAAATTGTTCCTGCTTGCGTCATCCCTTCGTAAATGTGAACTGAAGACGGTTTTACCCGCGTCATCTTTTCGTGAGTGTGAGCCGAAGGTCCTTCTTTCTCTAGACTTTCATTTGGGTCATTTGCTTGTCTCACATGAAATTTACTACGCAAATCATATTTTTTTTTCTTCACAGTTCTTCCAGGTTTGTGAATTTTTTTGTGTTTTATTAAGTATTTACTAATGGGAAAAGATCGAGAACAAATTTCACATTTAAACGGTTTTTCTTCTGTATGCAATTGCTCGTGGATAGTCAATGTACTTTTATGTTTGAATCTTTTGTCGCACATTCTACATTGAAAAGGCCTTTCGTTCGAGTGTTTTTTTAAATGTTGTTCTAATCGCGATTTATATGAAAAAGTTTCTGAGCAAAATTCACACTCGAAAACTTTACGTACATTATTCCTGCCATGGACTTTATCAGAACTCGTATGGCGACGCTTCGATTTAACTTTCATTTTTTATAGGTTACTTGCAGGCTCACTGTAAAGAAAAATTGCATTTCAGGTCATAAATATAAATTGAGCAAATATAAAACATTTTATTTAAGTTTTAACGTTTGAAAAATTTTAAATACAAATTTAAATGTTAAGGAATTAAACAGATAACTTATTTAATGTTAACCTTATATTTTGCATAACAACAAACTAAACTACAACTTTTCAGGAAAGCCTGTAATGAACATGATTCCTGCAGGAAATGATTTTTACACCCGATGTTCGAAGAAGCTACAATTATAAACAAAACTTAAGCATATCGTGCAGTATTTTCTGTAATATTCTGCAGTTTAGTACTAATGTACTATGGTACTTTAGGATGACTGGCAGCATGAATTTTGCAGCGCATTCGGCAAAAATCTGGAATATCTTGCTTCTTCTTCAGCTTATACTTCTCACTCTTTTCGGGGCGCTGGTTCAGATCACTTTCTTCCACTCAACTCTCTCCTCTGCGAAATCTCGATCAATGCTAGGAGCCACTGTGTCCTGAAACACATTATTAAAACATTACCTTGTTAGTGTGCCAATGCTAAAAGCTCCCGCTATGCTTCCACACCACAAGACAAAAGGGTCGATATTGCGTCGGCGATAATTAAGTACTCAGGTCTGACACCACTGTCTTTAAAGAAGCCACCATTGCCGTTAATTTCGTTTTTGCGCGAGTGATCGCCTGTCTAGGCGTTTGGATTCGGGATGGAAAAGGATTGGGCAAAAGAAGTGCATTCTACGACTGGAATACGAAAAATAATAGCTGTTTATTGATTATATAAAATTTACATATGAGCTTTAAACACGAGAGAGAAAGTTTACAAATACTCGCGCATAGTATTTAACTCGTGTTTTGAGCTTTTTTCGGAAGAGAAAACACTATAGGTCTTGATGGATACTTGGTAGGTTACCAAACGTCCTGTTTTGAGCGAGATTGAGTCGGTATGATGATGTGGTCCTAGCGTCCCGGTACTTTGTCACTTTGTTGCGGTTATTTGGAAAAATGTTTAAAGTGCCGAATATACGAGAAGTAAAAATAGTGCAGCATAGGGTAAAATGGCAACTAAATAATAAACTCTGTTACACTACTGTTACCAATCTTAATATTTTGTATCAGATCTAAGTACAGTACTTTTATCAATATTCTCTAGATGTTTTCTTCAAAATTTATAGCACATGGTCTAATGCAATCTGTTCGAGAAGAAGTTACTGCTGTTATATAGTGTTGATGTGCGAATGTCTGCCTTTGATAAAATACATGAACTATATGTTCGTATTTTATAAACTTTTTTAGATTTTTATAGATATATTTTACACACAAATATGACAATAAAATCAATTAAAATTAAGTAAAAGTATTCGAATTAAATAAAATTAAACGAATACTAGTCATTTCCGCTTTACACAGTTCTACAATGTAATAATTATTTTTAAAACTTGAGTTTTAGTCGAATTTTGTATTCAAACTTGTATAGCTTTCTTTTATTTAGCTTCACCTTTATTTTTCTCTTCTTTAGTCGAAATCGGTGAAAGAAAAAAGAGTAAGCAGATAAGGATTGAGTGGAAGGGTCCGCTTCCACCCGTTCTTCCTGATGGATTTGAGAAATAGTTCCTACTAGAATGTGTTTTTTTATCCGAAGTTTCAGTTGAAAAAAATAAAAACAAATTATAGTAACTGGAAAGAGTCTATGTTTAGTTTTTGCATGCTTCCATACTTTCTCCAGAGTTTCACTTGAGGAAAATGCTTCTTGCAATTTCTCCGAAATTTTAGTGAAGAAAGATCCTGCTTACTTCCAGTCTTCCTGAAAAATTTGAGCAGGTCTGACTGGCTTCCTGTTTTTATCCGACATTTGTGTTGAAGGAAGGTCTTTGTACCTCTAAAGATTCACTTCAGAAAAATTCTTGCATCTCACTTTCCTCCGAAATTTCAGTAGAGAAAAATCCTGTTTTCAATTTCTCATTTATTTGAAGTTTGAGCTCAGGAAATAAAAATCGAATCATAAAAACTAGGCAGAACTTGTGTTGTAGGTCCTGGTTGTGTCTGCTCTTGCTGCGAGATTTGAGAAGGTCCTGTTTGCATTTCTTGTTTATACGACGTTTGAGTTGAACAAACGACAAATAAATCGTGTAAACTGGGAAAAATTTTAGCAGAAGGGTTATCTTGCACATGTTTTTTTTGCAGGATTATAGTAGAAGATCCTGATCGCATTTCTGGTTTTATCAGGGTTTGTATTGTAGACGGACTTGCTTTCATTGACGGTTCCTGCATTATTGAATGTGAAGAATAAACTTGAGATCGAGAACAAAGTTTACTCTGAAACGGTGTCTTTCCTGCGTGCGATTTCTCATGAGCATTCAACTGATATCTACGTTTGAAACCTTTTTTGCATATTTTACATCGAAAAGAACTTTCGATCGAATGTTTTCTCAAGTGTATTTTTAAATGTGATTTCCACGGAAAATCCTTTGAGCAGTATTTGCACACGAAACTTCTAAGCGAAACATAGTTTCTTTCAGAACTCGTCTGGCGACTGTTCGATTTATCTTCCATTTTGTTATACTAGCAGACTCTGTAAAAAGACAAACTGAATTTCAGGCATAAATATAAATTTTGTACATTAACTCTTAAGCTGTAAATGTATTCGCTTGTGCCAGTAAATATAGGTGGCGTATGAGTCGACCAAAATGGCTGCTGCAAAGGGTATAGCGTGGGTGGCAGAATACGAGAGTTACATGTGTGTTGTCTTTTTAATATTTTTTCTCACTGTAGTCAAAACGTTTTATCCGCATTTGTGTCCGACATTAATCCTAATTGATTTCGTAGTTGTTTAAATCATGATTATTACACTTTGTGACATTTTAGAATATGTAATCAAAAAAGATGTCTTATAAGGAGAGGAAATGCTAAAACATAACTTTTAACTTAAAATGTTCCAAAATGAAATGTACCGTGTTTGAATATTTTACATATTTAAAATTCAAAAAAATAATTTAACTTTAAAATAAATTGAAAAAGTGTGTATATTAAATAAACAAATAAAACATAGAAAACAAAGCTAACTAGAAAGAAACATGATTTAAGGGTTTTTAAGTCCCATTCTTTTTTATTATATATTTCTATTTTATATATTTCAGCTTTCTCTTCCTTTTTAACGCTATCTTTATCGTTCCGTAGCAAGCTATAGATATTGAGTGCTCTTTTATAGATCATTCTCGAGTTTTTATAAGAAAAAGAGATAAAGATAAAGATAAAGAGACTACGGAACGATAAAGATAGCGTAAAAAAAAGAGAAAGCTGGGGTATATAAAATATCATTTGAAAATTAACAGTTAGAAATCAAAAAGATTATGTGGGTGTGACTAGAAGAAACTTGGCAGTATGTGTATGCGAGAACATAGATACAACGTTGACAAACGACACAACAGGAGCGATTGACTGAAGGACTGAAGGAGCGATTGTAAAATGGGAAGGGCTAGTCATTAAAACGGTGCACTCTTCATCCATTGCGTTGGAGATGAAAAAGGTGAAAATTTATAAAAGTAAAATGAAAAACCGTTGCCTAAATGCTAGGGATGCTAATGCGCTTTCAACAATATGGAAATATATAATAGAAAAAAGAATGGGACTTAAAAACCCTTAAATCATGTTTTTTTCTAGTTAGCTCTGTTTTCTATGTTTTATTTGTTTATTTACTTTTGATTTATTTAATGTATACAGTTATTTCAATTTGTTTTAAAGTTAAATTTTAAATATGTAAAATATTCAAAAAGGTACGTTCCATTTTGGAACATTTATAATATTAAACCTGACGATGGCCTATAATAGATAGGGTGTAAACATTTGTAAAAATAAAAGAATTTTAAGCTCAGAAAGATTAGGTGTCATTAGGTGTCGGTAAAACTGAACTGATAACTTCAGTTTTATATTCCACTTTTCTCGCAGTAATTTATTTTTTGGGAATGTGCTCATATGTACCGAGTTTGATGAACTTTTAGACTTACACTCGAATTCACAACAATACTTATTATTTACCATTGTAGATTGAACACTTTCTAATTCTAACAGACCACAGACTTTATAACCATAGCAGCCGCCATTACATAGTTCGCGCTAATACCGCTAGATGTCAGATCTATCGTTGGCACAAGCGAATACTGACTGACAAGGGAACAATACAGAAACAAAACTGTAAAAATCTAAAGCATATCAGTTATAGACAGGTGCATAATGAGAAATTTGAGGCATTGAATATAAATACAGTTCGGAAGTGCACAGCAGAGAATAAATTACAAATATACGATCAGGTATGCATTTACTGAGAGACTGTATGTATTTAATCACTAACATTCTCAGCCATTTCCTATGTTGACATAATCAGGTTTTTTAAAACCGTTTAAGAAACATGTTTCACAAATAAAACATTTTTTTAAATTAGAACTTTTCAAGAATTCTAAATACAAATTTAAATGTAAACGAGTTAAGAAAATACTAGCAGATGTGCCCGGCGTTGCTTGAACAGAGAGTAACGATAGCGAAGATTAAGATTACTAGATTATAGTCGATCTTACCCATTTTTACCGGTTGCAAGAATTAGATTATTCCTCTTCCCAGACTAATTAGAGAATAGTTAGATGGCTCCGAAAATATGTTCGATTTCTCACAAACACGCAAAAAAACTGCATCTAAAATAGTACATTAAAGCCATTCTATTAAAAATAACTTTTATTCTTTTGTTTCCCGCGGGGGAATTGCCAAAAATCCCTTCTTAATCTGCATTCTCATGGCATACCCCAAATGTGTACCA